GAGGGGATGCCTGGGTTTGCAGACCGGCGCGTCCCCGATTGTAGCAGGGACCCCCTCTGGATCACTGGGCTGGCCTTGGAAAGGGTCCGCTGTTGGGTTTGCAGGCTGAACACGCCCCTGATCATGGCGGGGGGGGTCCCCTCATGGTGACCGGTTGTTTGGTCATTTCAGTTGTGATGCCTCTTGGCCTTTTATTATTATGACAATAAGGATATATATATTTTTTCCCAAAATATGTATACACATACTTTGAATAATTATAAAGGCAATTTTTATTAAAATACATTTCATTTTTAAAATTCAGCTATCAGGTGTTAATATATATTTTGAGGGGACACCCTGTATTTTCTCATATTGTTTTTTCTCTATTCTTATTTTACTATTAAGCTTTTATTAGGTACATGCTGTTAATTCAGGAATTGCTTTTCTTCCCATTTATTTAAGATTTCATTTTAAATCACTAATGAATTATGAATATTATGAAATGCTTTCCTAAACATCTTAAAATATAGTTTTTTCTTTAATCTCTTAATTTGAGTAATGCACGCATAAATATTTCTGTTATTCAACTATAACTATATTCCCAGAGAAAATACTAACTGGCTAAAAATTATTATTATTATGAAAATGTGGCTGGATTTGTTTTGCTAACACCTTATTTAGAGTGTTTACATCAATGTTCCTGAGAATCAACCTATGCTTTTCTAACTTCTCTGGTTTTCTATCAGTTTTGTACTAGCCCCATAAAAGAATTTAAAGAGGTTACTTCTATTTTTATTATATGGAAGTATTTACATAAAGTTAAGCTCAGCACTTTCTTAGAGGTTTTGTAAGATATTATCTATCTATTTATTTATTTACTTACTTATTTATGTCTGTTAACTTCTTTGCAAGTAGATATAACAAAAAATAATCTGTTTAATGTTTATTGATACATTTGGCTTTTTATTTCTTCTTGGATTAATTTTGTTAATTTATCTTTTCTAGAATTTTAACTATATTATGTATGGCAGACAATTTTATAATTTTACTGTATTTATGTTTATTTGTACTTATGGTTCATTTTTATCATCTATATTGTGTTTCTACTAATTCTTATTTTTCATACTCAATCTTACTGAATGTCTGCTATTAGTATTTTTTAAAGACCAGCTTTTGCTTTTCTTGATCTGCTCAATTTTTTTGTTTCATGACATCTCATTGATTTTTGTGTTTTAATATCTATTTTCATTCTATTTCCTTATTGGTTCAGTATTTTCTGAATTCTCAAGATTAATGCATAGTTCACTTTTTTTCCTTCTTGTTTTTATATGTTTACATTTGTATGTAGCTAGTATATGCATATGAAATATTAATATATATGTGCATGTGTGTGTGTTGTTTCCAACTGTGTGGAGATGTGTGAAAATCTTTATGTTATTTGATTTTTAATATTATCACACAGTAGAAGATGAT